GTGCAAATTACTGACCTCTGTCATCATTTTAAGTGGGGGAACTTGCACAATCGGTGGCTGACTAAATACTTTTTTGCCCCACTGTACATTTTTCTTGGTATTTTGCTAATGGATCTGAACAAATACAAGTAGCATGTCATGTTTTTCTGCAAAAAATCAGGCAGGAGAAGAAATTTGAATTTATTGTCCATTTTAACCACTTTATGTTGCTCATACTCACAACAACTCTGAAGAAAACACAGCACCTCACATTCAGCATCACTGCTGGACACATTTATTTATGCTTTTGCCATAAACTCACATCATCTTCTTTAACTAGACTACTGCTAACCTGACACGGATTCAGCCTTGCTAAAATAAAGACAGCTGTGATGTCTATAAGCATGGAAAAAGTGTCTTCATAGAGTGACTGGATTGTGCACTGCCTAACAAGCACACTCAGCATTTTCCACAGTCAGCTCATAGTGGGATTATAGCATAGTGAACGTGACACTAACTCAGCCATGAAGTGGTAGACCATGTGAATTCACAGAGCAGGTATGTTTCAGCATGCCAAGACATTTAGGACAATTTCATCCTCACAACCTTGTGGTAGCAGTTTGGGGATGGCCTGTTCCTGTTCCGGCATGTCTTCACACCAGTGCACAAAGCAAGGTCCATAAAGCCATGGATGAGCAAGTTTGTTGAAGACCTTGACCTGTATAGAGTCCTGACCTCAACCCAACAGAACATCTTTGAGAACTGTTACGAGCAAGGACTTGGTGACAGTGGGAAGGAAAAGGCACGTTTCAACACAAAGTAACAGTCAGACTCAGGGAGGGGAAGTCATCTGCTGTAGGTCCTAATAACGAAACTCGTACAGTAACAGACGCTTTGTGTTGAGATGAAAGCAGTAAAATTACAGAGTTCTAGTTACCCTGTGGCGGACTGCTGACATGTCCAGGACACTTACATGCAGCTTTATGGCACAAAGCCGTGTTTTTGTTGCTTCAACATGATAATTATTTGTAATAAAGGTTCTAGGACCGTCACTGAAACAGACCAATCACTGTGAACATGCTGTGCCAACATGTCGGCATTCTTTTAATGAGTAAAAGAAAAACAAAGGTTGTCCAAATTGTTACTGAACGTTTCCGTTGGGACTCCCCTTTTTAATTTTTCAATTTATTTTTGAACACATCATGGTTCAGAGGTTGATCAGCAGAGGCATGAAGAAAAGTCTTGTGTTTTCCTTTTGAGCTGTGTGCCTCTGTGGCATCTGCTCATGTGTGACTCAGCAAGTGGTTTCTGTTCAAACAAATTAATAAATGTCAAGCGCAGTGCAGCATTCTTCCTGTGCTGATATGAATCATTATGTTCAACCAGTTGTCTGTTTCTCTCTTTCTTGCTCACCTTTATAACCAAAATTGTTTTAGCAACGAAGTCTTTATTTAATACACTTTGCATCTCCATCTTAAAATAGTTGCAGAGGCCACGTTAGTCTTCACGAGTCCCAGCAAAAGCAACAAAAATGTCTTCTTCATCATCTTTTGGCTGCTCTCTTTAGGGGTCTTGACATTGGATCATCAGCCTCCACCTCACTCTATTCCTAGCTCGGTCACCAGTCCTGTCAGTGTCCTCTTTCACTACATCTATGAACCTCCTCTGAGCTCCTACTCTTCAACATCGTTTGTACAGTACATCAACTATCCCTCCTCTGCACATGTCCAAACCATCTCAACCTTGCCTCTCCGACTTTGTCTCCAATTCACTCAACCTGAGTTGGAAACAGTGATGCCAACAAAACGACAGGAGGGCAATGAAAAAAAATCTGAGCACTGTGTCCAATCTGTCTCCACATCACAGCAGGTCTCACTTCTGCAAACCTTTCCATTTCATTCTTTCTGTGATTCTTCTTTCACAAATTCCCCAGAGACATTCGTCTCCACCCTGTTTGTGCTCTCTTCTTCACAACTAAATTAAATCAAGTATTGCAAATATAAATATATATTTTAAAACAAAAAACATTCAGTTCCAAACCCAAATTACACTGGTTCATCCAAAATAGAAATCCTGGTGTTTGCATGGATGAAAAATAGTCCCAAAGTGACAGCAACCAGCTCTAGGGTCAACAAGACTTTGTGGCAAAAGGAGGTTTGTGTTTAATATTTGTTTTCTGCTCTCATGCCTTTGCCGAGATATTCAGTTGCTCTTTATCGATAGAAGAAAAAGATATACTGTATACAATGTGAAAATAGAATTTTCAACAAAAGAACAAGGGGCGCAGTTTGTTTCAAATTAGAGCTCACAGCCTCGCACATGTGGGTCTGTAGAATGACCACTCGGTAGCTTTCTTATGATGCTGCTTTATTGAACATGTGTCCAGCATGGGT